ACCTTGAGCCGGTGAGATTAGAACCGCTGAACTGCAGATAGCAGTCAGCTGAAGTGGCCTGCAGTACTGCACCCTAACCACTGCGCCACCTCGGACCACTTTGAATGGTCTCTCAATGAACTGTCGTAATGTACCTGTATATAGTTGTTGAAACATTAAGAAATCCTAAACGTGGTATTTTTGAAAGCTTTTCAAAGTTAAGAAAGGTAATTCTCAAGGCTCAACTTTCTACTATGTTCCAATTGCAGATCGCCAAGGCCTCGAGGAGACGCCTCCAGGTGGGCATGGCCTACTCGGAGGGGCACCACATTCGCATTTCCAAGCAAGATTTCAAATTATTCCGGACTCTGTTCCTCCTCATGATTTCCTTCTTCGTCATGTGGAGCCCCATCATCATCACCATTCTCCTCATTCTGGTCCAGAAGTTCCAACCGGATGTGAACATTGCATCGTTCTTTTTCTTCTGGATAATGGCGTTTACATTTTCCAATTCAATCGTCAACCCGGTTTTGTACAATATAGTCCAGTTTAGACATGGCTGGAGGCAAATTTTTTTCTGTTGCCAAAACCCCCTTGGGAAGAAAGAGACTACAGTGGAGACGTCTGCGAAGCAGCAGAACGGGAGAGATTTCACAGTATCCGTTATCACCAGATAAACCGCGTGGTATTCCTCGTGAGAAGAAGGTCAAGAGTTTTTAAGAACTGGAGTAAGCAGTTGGGAAAACAATTTTGTTTACCTTGGTAAGAAACATGGATGAATAAATCTGATAGCAATAAACATGCGTTAAAACAGTTTAGCTGGGAACATCTCCGTACTATTCCATCCTAAACTAACTAAAATAATGATTTCTTTAGGATCTTAAAATCATATCCAAGAACAGGTTCACACAGAACTCTTGACTTCCTAAGAGTGAGTGTACACCAGTGGTGAGTTCCGGATCCTGTTGCAACTGGTACGGTTGTAACAAGGCCCGGGGTCCACCACATGAACGCACGCAGCACACATGGGCAACACGCACATTCTTAACTCTTACGACGCCTCTGCGAGCCTCCGCGATGCTCCAGCTGCTTGGCGGAGCGTTGCGCAGGCACCATTCTGTGCATGGAAGCGCTGAAGAGCTCAAATACAGGTAAGGAGCTCGGGTGGGCAGGTGGGCCCTCTGAAGCACCGCACCGGAACGGTACCGGGTGCTCCAGGCAGGCACCGGTTCGCACGTACCAGAGCGTACCGCCTGCAACCCACCACTGATGTATACTGGAAAAAGGGAGTTTTCACCACTAAAGTAGGACTGTACTTTAACATGCCAGTTATCCTTTTCAATGGTGTTTGTCATCCTTGATAACTTTAGATTCTATGGATTACAACGCCTAGAATTCCCCAATTAGCAATAGCAATAGCAGTTAGACTTATATACNCATATGCCGCACTTTCAAGATGGCATCCATTGTTATGGAGGTGCATTCAGAATACTGATTTGGGTTTTAGCCAACAGACCCAAGAAGGATATTAAAAGGTGTGTCAAATATAGAAGGAGGCAACCGAGATCAGCAAATCAAAGTCTTTAGAATTTTCCACACACCCCCTTCCCTGTCTTGTTGATAGGTTTCTTTCATTATTATATAAAAAGGTTTTTTTCCCTTCCTTTTCAAACCATTGGCATTTCCTCACAGTCAATATTTATTCTGAAGTTTCAACATGTCCGTAATCATTTAAAAGAGCCTGTTAAATATTCTTTAAAGAGGTAGCCTCAGCTGAACAGCGCACAGAAAGCTGAGACTAGACGAGGCCCCATATTTCCATGGAATGACAATTCCAGTAACAATGTTGGAAAGAAAAATATCCAGATTATGTAGTTAATCAATTCCTCTTTCTTTCATTAAAAAGCCTAAACTCTGGACCTGGAGAGGAAACACATTGTTGCTCAGATCAATATTTTTAGCCCTACGGGATTGGACGGCATATAGGTTTATTAAATTGCGAATTACGAATTAGTCAAATCAAATAAGTTTAAAAAACAGTATCAGAATCGAGAGGAAAGCCCATTTAATTACTTGAGAAACATGTCAGAAGTCTTTATGATTGACTTATTCGGCAGGCGATGCCATGATTTGTTTTAACCACGGTTTCTTGAGCAAGCCAATGTGTCTTTACGCATTCCTCATTTTAAGCCATTTTAGCTATTATTGAGTGTTCTCGGTGGTCGTGTTCAAACTGTATGCTCACTCAACATGAAGGAAATCATATTAAGCTCACCACCAAGTGAACCATTAGTTTTCAGATGGAGTGAAGGACCATATATAAAGTCCAAAGCTATTTTTTTCTTCTTCTACAGGAGAAAACTTCTTTCAGAAGCAACTTGACTTCTGATATGCAGGGTTTTATACAGATANAATTCCGTGCTATGCTTTTTAGCCCTACATACATTCTTCCACGAAGAAAGCAGCCTCAATCCTTTAAAAGCATCCTAGCTTGCTTTATCTATCCAAGATCGATGAATCATTTACACCAAAAAGGGTCAACATGTGTGAATGCAGATCTCCAGGAAGGAAAAGATTGCCTTTGCAAATCCTCCGCGGGGAAATTGATGACAAGAAAGAGCACGCGAAAGCCAGGGAAAATATACACGTACAGCCTTATAGGTATGTTTTCTACACTGTGCGTGATGTAGCAACAGCGAGATTGGTTTATCACGCTAAATGTCTGATTTAGAATAGGCAAATTAAGAGTGCTGAAGGATTTAGTGTCCTGACATCTCTTTAATTAGCAGTCACTGGATCCTTCGGTTAAGAAGGCATAAGCTACTGGACTGCTGTCATACTTCAAGGGTTTTAGAAGGTTGGAAAGCCCTCAGAACAAATCTGGAGTCTACAGTTGCTGGAGATATAATGAACAACATCCCTTTTTCCTATTAGAAGCAAAATCAGACTTTTGCTGGGTTTTGGTGGGGATGCAAGAGTAAAACAACAACAACAACAACAAGCAACAACAACCTGCCAAAGAGAAGCCAAGCAGGATGGGTGAAATCAACAAGGAAGATGTTGAAAAATATTTGGACAACAACCCGCAATTTGCCAAGGAGTTTTACGATAAAAGACTTCGCCCGGAAGCATTAACGAACCTCTTCAGAGTCAACACCGAGAATTTGAAGGAAGGCATCTCCTTCCAGGAGATGACCAAGGTAGAAGAATGTGAGATACTTTTGGAGTTGCTTTCCGAAATCCAGAACGACGAAGCTGCCATGGAAAAGATCTCACATAAAGTCCTGCAGAGGTTAGCACAGTTAATAGCAGCCGACAGGTGTAGCATGTTTATCTGCCGTTCCCGTAATGGGACCCCAGAGTTAGGGAGCAGGCTCTTCGATGTCACCCCTACCTCCAGTTATGAAGACAATTTGGTGCACCCGGATAAAGAGATCGTTTTTCCTCTGGACATCGGGATAGTAGGCTGGACTGCCCATACCAAGAAATCATTTAATGTTCCAGATGTAAAGAAGGTGAGTAAGAGTTTCTTTTGAGTTTGGAGAATTGATAACGTCATTTTATATTCCGGACTTGTGTAAAAAGACATTAAAAAAAAAAAAATTAGGGGGCTATAGAACTACGGAGACTTCTTAAATGTGCCCAGTCTCTGAAATGGCTGGCAGAACGTAAATATATTTTTTTTCCCACATAGGAAACTATTTAACAATTCATATTCTTCAGCATCTTAGATGCTGAGATGATTTTAGAGCATTATTTAAACTAGAGACAGAAGGAGGACTGTTATTTCTAAAGCAAATCCGTCTCTGAGATTGTTGAGATCTAAACTCCTAATTAGTGTTCCTCCTTATTTCAAACTGGACTGAAATTAGTATTTAATTAAATAACACAGAGAGATGTTGGATTTTTTTTTTTAATCATTTGAGATGATCTCCCTATTTTAGTTTGGGAGGGAATTCCCTAGATCATGAATATTAGAAGGACCTAATATGTGCTAAGTCCAATGAGGTAAGATTGTTCTTGATCTCCTTGGTTTATTCTACTGTAATCTACTTTATGAATTGAAAGGATTATCCACCAAGCTCCCTTGTTGATAGCAACAGGCAATGCATCAAATATCGCTTGATATTTCCCAGGTAGCACCTGGGTTTGATTTTTGTGCTGCAGAGAGAATATTTGACTACAACAAACCACCATGGAACCACTTCTAGTCTGTGACCATAATAAAGATTGATTGAATCCCAATAGGCTTAGGGCTCAATTAATCTAATTCTTGCCTGTGTGGTTATGTTTCCTGATATTATTTCTGAATCGGGGCATAATTCATTAAGAATTTTCTCTTGGGGAAACAGAGTGAAATAAAGAAATATTAAACAAGGATCTAGAATATGATCTGCTTTCTGGGAATCATCCTGAGAGGCAGCCAAAATGAATGCAGTGGTTTTGATTTTTGTACTTTAAATCTGCAATAAATTTGGAAGAAATTTATTGTAGAATTTTAAATCCTGACATCTTTTCCTTCCCTTCTTCATCCTTTCCTTTCCCTTCCCTTCTTATGGATGCACTTCATACCACTCATAAACTCACAATCAATCTGACCCTTTTATACCTAAAACTAATCCTCAATAGAATTAATCCGTCAATTTGATGCAGCCTACTATTTTTATATATTTTTTTGTCTTAAAAAGCAGTTACACGTAATTTTTCATTGATACAGGGAGATTTTTCTATTCTGTTTCTATATCTTCTAATTTAAAGAACATCACTTTGGAGGCATTTTCCTATGTATTTTGATTGCATTTTGCATATTCTTCTACAGAAAGTGTGTATCTCTTGAAGTAGGTGTGAAGAGTTGGATTGTTTGATTCTAACAAGAGTCAGTAACTAACGTAAGCTATGAACATTATAGAATCACCTCTGTCTGAATATCCAGCCCTGAATACAGATTTTGAATGTAATTTTTCAGACATTTTTAAATTCAATATTAGCACCCAATTACTGATCTCTTCCTTCTGATATGATTCCCTCCCTGTTGGAATAATCCTGCACTTCTGAACTGTTTCACTATTATGATTTTGTTATAATTTTGATACCACCACTATTCATGCCAATAATGTCCTATTTCATTCTTCAGTCAACACTCTCTCATTCACATAAGGGAATTCTGAAAATATACGCTCTCCCTCCCTCTCTTTNGGACCCGGAAAGCAGGCCACACCTACAGAAGAGGTTCCCAAAATTTTTTGAAACCCACCACTATTGTACGAGGTGCAATGACAATAAAGTAAAGTAAACTAAACATTTAAACCGTTACTCACTTTAAAAGTGATTTCACATCTTATTTCTTTGTGAACAAAGCCTGTTCACAAAGTAGGAATCTACTTAACCGTGTGAAAGGTATTGCCGTTCAGGTATTAAAATTGATCAGAGATGAGATTTATCTTTCTTTTTGAAAGTGCCAATTATTTAAAGCTGATTCTGAAATGTTTGAACACACAGGTGACTCGGTCGCTCGCGTACATCTTTATGCATAAAAATTATGACTTAGAAACCCGATTTAAAAACATTATTCCAGAGGCAAATGGCAAGTCAAATTGGTGAACGCAATCGTGAGAATGGTTCTCAGAAATGGCATTTTGGTGCTGAAGAAGCCAAAGGTTTAACATCCATGAACGGGCCAGGCTTTAAGTGACAAAAAGTCCTGAAATTTGCACAGGAATCAACATTAGGAGTACGTTATCTTTCAAGTTATCAAATAACTCGAGGAGGGTTTAAGGGCGTCTTAACTGCTTCCTTTCTAAAAGAGTGGAGCCAGTTGTTGATAAGATACAATGGAAGGGATGTGCCAGATGTAGTTTTTTAACATGACCCAGACAAGCACACCCAGCCTTTGGACTCCCGAGTCCTTAGCCTGTTGTGATTTCGTGGCAGACCAAAGGTTGAATATCTGTTGAAGGTGGAGGTGGGGGAAAAAACCCTGGAGCCAAATAGCCTTTCCAGTAATATTGGATGATTTCTGCAAGTTAGTCTGTGCTAGCCTAAAAAGGGGGTGAAAAAACCCCTTTAAAAAGCTCCATCTGCCTTTTTTTTTTTTGAAGGGATAGCTAAAACCAGATTTTCAGTAACAAAATCATTCCGATGGTAATTATGACAGTCTATTCTGAGCAATTTCCTTAAATATAGCTGGTGCTTCAGTGGGCAGGCGTGGGAGATTTTCTTTTGCTTTCATTTACTCTACGTAATGTTTTGAGATTTGACCGACATCTCTTCACAAAGTTAAAAAAAAAAAGAAAAGACTAGATATATATAACCTTCTCTCCCAATCCGGTAATTTCCAGATTTATTGAATTCTGGCTTTGGGAAGTCAAAAGTAGCAAGGGCCCTGAGTAACCTAGCTCTCCTCCTGATATACTCACTTCCTTTCTGGAGGTACGAGGCCACACCCCAATATTTCATTTTAAACTTGGCAGGGTCCTCTGTCTCAGTGAAGGTGCCCACCATATCAGCACACATGTTCCAGGTACTGAAAAGAGGAAGAGATGGATTTAAGGTCATAGTTATAAATCTGTAGCTACTTGTGCTAGCTACCAGTAAGGAATAGAAGAATGTGAGCAAGTAAGAAGAGAGGCAAAAAACTATAACAGGCTGGATCACATCGTTTTCTGACTTGAGAAATAACCATTTTTCTTCTTGTGTTGAACTTTCCAACATAAGGCAAAGTGTATAATAATCAAAGCCAGATATGATTTTTGGCATAAGATGGAAACTACCACCACCCTCACCATTGGATAGTTTCTGGCCTTGTTCTTCTTTATTGCAATAGTAATAAATTCTGAAACCTATCTAAGATAGGGTTGGACCCAGAGGTGGGTTCCTACCAGTTCGCACCTATTCGGTAGAACCGGTTCGTCAAATCTACTGAACCGGTTAGAAGAGGTTCCACCAGTGGACCCNATTCTGTCTTCTACTTTTTAAACTTTTAGTACTTCTTAAATTGTCTTTTATGTAAGCCGCCCGGAGTCCTTCGGGATTGGGCGGCATATAAATTTATTAAACTTAAACTTAAACTTTGTTCATTCAAAATTATGACAGCTTTGAATTAGTCATCCTTATAATTGGTCCTTGAAGTTTCATCCATTCCTGCACCCTGTCACATGATTGTAATGACATAAATTCTAGTCCTAATTATCACCATTAAGCAAGGACTGTATATCGGGTCTGTAGTCATTAAAAGGTGACTTAACTATGTGTTTAACTATGGAGATTTTCTTGCTGCTTTATTTTTTAAAAACCCATATGATACAGCTCCATAATTCCACTAAACTATGGAGTTTATGCCACAATTTCAAATTTTCCTACCCAAGTATTGCCATCTGGCAAAAACTGACAGTCACTGCAAATTTTATCAGAAATAAAATTATATTTGAAGTTGATCTAGTTTCAGCTTTTAAATGGTAATCAAAGATCCTTTTTCAATGCATCTGGATTGATATCATTCCTTTAAAAAACTGGACCTTTTCCTTGTTCAAAATATAAACATCCATACAGCATAAAATGCAAAAGGAAATGTTAAGAAACTTTTCCTTTTCAAACTTGCTGGACGCTGAAAAAGCAGTGAATGAAACATTCAGCCCTTCTTGGTTGATCAAATTAACCTTAAATATCTTGTCAAAGGTTGAACTGATAACATGAAAAAAAAACAGGGTTTTTTGTCTTTCTTTTTTTTAAAAAAAAAAACCTTAGCCATTGGGGATAAGTAGGAGAACGAGTTGCTATCGCTATGGTTACAGTATTTAAATGTAAATACTGGATGAGCAAGTAGAATCTCTTAAATACCTTTGGCATTTCCCTGGCACTTGAAGCTATTTGAATAATCATCTTTTATCCTTCTTAGACTATCCACGTACTACAGAAGCTCAGGGCCGAGGCATCACTAAGAATCATTCCATAAATAGTTGCATTTGCTATAGTAACCGCAAACATCAAAACCAAAAAGTAACCTACGTATTAAAATAACAAGCTTTGGCTGTGCCAAAATTGCCTGAAAAATCAGAACAAAATCTATTTAGTTCATCACTTTTTAAAAAAATTCAAATTTAATCATGATGATGATGGTGGTTGGTGGTGAGGAATTGTGCCTAAAAGTCTCACATGAAAACAGAATCAAACACATAAATCTCCACCTTCTGCTTAAGAATAAAACTGCTATCATTATTATTATTATTTTTAGTAAGAAAGTTATGATGAGATAAAGGGATCTGGACACATTTGGAAGATGATTATTTTGGCAAACATGCTTTTTGGAGCTTTTTGGAATTAACTGAATAAACAGACCAGGGGAAAAAGGAGAATGGACTGCTATTGTTCCTCTTATTATACCATGTTAATAAAATCATTCTTCACTACTGATATTCACTTAATCTGGTTATTTATTTTAGTATAGTNCTCGCGGAGGATAGGTGTGACGTGGGTGTATCTGGGTGCACCCACAATCGCTCGCGCGGCTGCGTTCTGGACTAACTGAAGTCTTCGAACACTCTATTGTAGCTCAAAGGATACTAAACCAATCATGTTCATATAAAATTTAGCATACTTTGAAGAAAAATAGGTATGTGTCTTGCAGAAAGAGGCAACATTTGGACAAATTGCAATAATATTTTATGTTACAGCTTCAACTTCCTCAAGAAAAGTTTTTCAATTGATCAAGGTGAGGGTATATTTTCCCTATCCATGAGGTGAAGTTATGCCAGCACAGTAAGATTTGTAGAATGAGAAGAGACACAACACACAATGCGCGCCGACAATTTGGATTTATAATTTTTTAAACACTGTAAAGGCAACGTACCCCAAATGCATAAATACACATTCACAACACAACCGTGGTCCTATTACACTGATTTCAGTTTATTAACTGGTGGAAGGATAAATGATAAATTACTTGTCTGTAATTTAGGTAAGTATTCTTCAAATCCAAACGAATCCCATGAATGAATTGAATTGAAATTAAGGACTTGTCTCAAAACAGTACGTTTTAAAAGCTTTTAGCTATTGAGAAAATGCTTTCCTGCTTTCCGTAGAGTATGTTGTCTTTAGTCGCAGAATCCTAAGAAAGAAAAAGGAGAAGTAAATCTGCTAAAATCCCCAGAACGCATTACAAAATAAAGCGAATTGATTTGACTTAATATGGTATAATAAGATTCTACAGCTAGTAGATGGTACGAACCAGCCTACAAAATTAAGAGTATGAAGGTCTATTTAATTTCACCCTTGATGTCTCAAAAGAATAATACATATGTCTTAAAGTTGACAAGTCTGAGAAATACTGATATAGACGAACCCTCCGTGAGTTAACACATTGAAGTTTTTTGCAGGATAGGCAATTTTGTGTGAATGGATATCGTGACAGCTGCTACAAGGTTAACTGAGCCTAGGTACTCTGAAGTGGGGGAAAAGACATAAAATTTCAAAATGGAAAAAGAGATACTTTGTGGATATCCTAGCAAAAGAGATTTCCTAGCAAAAAGAGAGAACCGTCCAGATTTAAATTAAGAAGTCAGATTGCCTCCTTTTGCAAAAGAACTGGAGTGGGAACTATGAATCATATCTGAGAAAAACTGGTAGATAACAATGAATTAATATGAAAGAGCAGAAATTCCTCTCCTTTTTTTTTCCAGTTCTATCATTTATCAAAAGTACCCCATGTTTAACTCATGGCCACATTTCTTTTATTCCTTTCATGCCTAATTTGCCGTCCAATACCTCTCCTTGGTCCCCTGAGATTCTGGCCTAGGTAGATTTGACCTAGGCAGCTAACTGGAATCCAGTGTGAAAAACAGTGGCATTCTGGGTGGATAAATAGGTTTTTAAGTGTTTTTCTAGTACAATTCACTCCTCAAATCTGATTGCACCCCGTACTGTGTTTCCCCGAAAACAGACAGGGTCTTATTTTCTTTTGCCCCCCAAAACAAGCGCTTGGCCTTATTTTCAGGGAGGTCTTATTATTTTTGAGGTGCAAGAGGCGGTGAGCATGGTCACCTCATGGCTGCTGCTGTGTTGCAAGATTTTTTGGAGGGGGGGTATTTTGTGGGGGAGGGCATGCATGCACTCAAAAGCCCGATTGGGCTTATTATCTGGGGAGGTCTTATTTTCAGGGAAACAGGGTATTAGGATTTGCCATGACTATAACTTGAAGCACATGTAACAGATGTCTTAGACCAGAGGTGGGTTTCGAATCTCAGTGCTACTGGTTCGCTCATGCTTACATGCACGCTGGCACTCACTCGCAACACTTCTGCGCATGTGCAGAAGCATCCAGACAGGTGGGTGGAGCCTCATGCTGCCGCCATTACCGGTTCGCCCCGGAGCAACCCACCTCCGTCTTTGACTTACAAATTTCCCAGCCATTGGGTCATACTGGTTAGAAATTCTAAGAGTAATAGCCCCAACAATTAGATGGGGAAAGCTAGTCTTAAGGTATATGATGGAATACCAGACCGGTATTTCTCAACCTCACAACTTTAAGATGTTTCCTGGAGAATTCTGGGAGTTGAACTCCCTGCAGCCAAAAGGTTGGGTGAGATTTAGCAGATTAACAGAGTTGGAAGGGACCTTGTAGGTCTTCTAGTCCAACTCTCCCGCCTAAGCAGGAGGCCCTACACCATTTCTGACAAATACCAGTCTAATCTCTTCTGGAAAGCTTCCAGTGATGAAGCTCCCACAACTACTGAAGGCAACTTCTGTTCCATTGGTTGATTGTTCACACTATCAGAAAATTCCTCCTTATTTCTAGGCTGAATCTCTCCTTGTGATTGAGAAGGGTTCCACCACAAAAACGCGTTCGACTAAAGCGCGCTCGACGAAACCGCGTAGCTGACGTCATCACAGGGCGACAACAGCGCGGAGACAGAAGCACGCTGTAACCTGGGAAGGGAGCTTCGCTTGAGATGACCATGCTATGCCCTCCATANAATTCAGGCACTTGGCAACTGACTCATATTTATGAGAGTTGCAGTGCCCAAGGGTCATGTGATCACCTTTTGTGACCTTCTGACAAACACAGGGAAGTCTGATACATTTAACAACCATGCTACTAACTTAATAACAGCAGTGGTTCACTTTACAACTGTGGCAAGAAGGGCCATAAAATGGGTCAAACCTTAACAACTGTCTCACTTAGCAACATAAACTTTGGGCTCAATTATGGTTGCAAATTGAGAACTACCTGTATAACATTCAATAACAATGCTTAAGATACAGCATTATGCTATTACAAATGATATGTTTTCTTTCTGGTTTGAGGTCTACAAAGATCCAAATGAAAAATCAAAGTATTACTGGGTCAACTTTACAGTCAGTGAGTATATTATATGTTGAACATATATAACAGTAGATATATCTATATATGCAGCTATAATGTGATTTATTATTCTATTTAAACATTTAAGATTTCACTCACAGATTTCTGGGAGACTCAGAAAAAAGATGGAAAAAATAAAAAACTGCAACAGACAAACACAGCAGGAA